TGTCTGGCAATCCGATTGATGCTTTCATTCCAATTGTTTGCACGGTAGCTGTTCGGAAAGGCTTATTGACAGAGATGGAGAGTGCTCAGGTGCAGCACGCTGTGTGAAGATGCTTCAAAAAACTTGGTTTCACAGTTTTTTGTCACTTGTCATCCGTCATAACCTGCTAAAAGCATGTTTGACCTTCAATTCGATCTCTCCTGCTAACACGGTTTTCCACTTCGATGCGATGACACCTATAGATCTGTGCTTAACAGAATCAGTTTACGATCGCCTGTGCGGAGTGGAAGCAAGGCTCGTTATCAAAAGTGGCCTCTGGGAGCAACTGCACTGGATTTTCCGCAGTACTAGAACCATTTTCTATACTGTACAACCGGCCGCGTTTACCCGTTGGGTTATCGGGGTGTGTGGATATTGGGACAGACTTTTGGCAGATAGCGTCGATACTGGTTCGTGTGGGGAACAAATTGCCATTCTTACACACCTTTTATAGTAACTAGTACAAATTTACCCTTAGAACACCTTGTAATGCCGAGAATCGGTGGCATTCACCGGACTGCCTTCTGACATGGTTGAAATTTAAGGAAGTGAGCGGCTGTCAGTGCAGTACGCAGGAACATTGAAGCACTGGACCTCACCATCAAGATGATAAAAGCCGAGCAGCCCTCTGCCATCCAGGTTTCTGCTGAAATAGTTTCTCTGACAACCCATACATAACCCGGTTCACTATAGTAAGCGGACTTCGACAAGCAACGGACTGGAAAGTAAACACAAGTATGGTTTTAAAATAAGTAATTTCCGTCAATGTTTGGGTACAAAAGATCGGTAGCAATCAGCTAGAGATCTGGTTGTTGTAGATGACGATAGCGAACATTAAGCACAACGGTACCTCAGCGTGAATAACAATTTGCCTGTAGGGTTGTTTGGATTAGGTTTTTACTTGTGTAGGACACTCTTCCCTGATGATAGTTTGACCGCTAAGGGCCATTATTTGTCACTGTTGTATCGCTGTTGATAATGCTGATTGTAATGGTTACTCTGTGTGATGTAATGCAATAGGTAGGTAGATTCACCTCCGGAAAAAAGCAGAAATTACGGAATTCATGGGGGTTGTGCGGTTACGAAGAAACGTTTGAACGGTCACGGGTGAAATCACAACCGGGGGATTACGGGCGAAAGGTCGTCGGTAGGTGTTCACCAGCCCACTTAAAGTTACGATCCAAAGTGCGTACGAAAAGTGTCACAGGAACACACAGTGGACACTGTCAACAAAGAACCGCGTACTTAATGGAGTGAACGGGTTGCGTGACCACCTGAGTGGTAAGTTCATTTGCCGGCCCAACTGTGGATTATATTCGCTATCAGAAAAGCTCAACCAACAAGACGTCAGTGCCTGACTGGGAGGTATGAACAATCGCCCGAAGGAAGGAAACTGGGGAAGATAGTAGAACGGTAGATACGTAAAAACCCTAGTGGCTCACCAGTAGCGTGGATTGTTATATTGTCGGAAATTCTTGATCTCTGTAGGGATTTGGGAGAATACAAACCGGTAAACAAGTGGAATGGTCGTGGTTGGTTTAATATCACTACTCTGCTTCCTGATCAATCACCGATAGGATAAGTTACCGTTTAGCTTCTCGAGGGAATTACCCTTAGGAGGATTAATAACTCTTGTCTAAGAGGAAGATGAAGCCAGAGCGTCTGCTACTGAATAGATTTGCCCGTTGACTATGTGGATTTGGGGCTTTTAAACTTGTGGAAGCGTAATCGGGATTAAGGATTCTGTCGGGAACATCGATCAGCCCGTCGGGACACAATTCACATCACTGGTTTATCCCTTGTCCAAGTATGTGATAAACAGTTGTGTGATGATGGGTAGTACGTCGCAAAATGTGGGCGTGTTAGACTTTTTCAACAAGCTAGGTGCATCCACCAAGTTGATTGAATCTCAATGTTTGTCCGCCATTGGGTGCGTTAGAGGTGCACCAACACACAAAGTCGTACAACCAATGTGATCGCATCCAGCATTGATAGTGACATGGGAAGAAAACGCGACCATGAGGTTTAGTCGTCTTGAGATAAAATACCGGGGGAAGTGAAAATTTGAAGGGAGATTTTCCGTCTACACTCACATAAATAGTCCGTCAAAAACTGATGTTTCACTCTTTGGTTTCCGAAAATATGTTTTGAATTTGCATTTTTTTATACTTAGCTAACCGCACCAGATTACCTGGTGGTGCACATTTATTTGATCACGAAGCTTACAAAACTTTGGGGGCAGACAAGGTAGACGTAGACCTGTGCGATACAGAGACGGAACGTAGTGGATATGTGAAGGGGTTCGGGTGCGTGCACGGTCTTTTATTCAGATTGCGTAACGATTCGGTTCTGATTAAAGCATAGCAACAGAGTAGTTTAACTGATGGTAACTGAGCCAATCATTAAGTTTTCAGATTGCCTTCGTGATATGAGCGAAAACGAATCGCCTGTACTCACTCGAAAGCAGCAGAAAATCATTGAATGTAACTCCGATGAAATTCATGTCTTTGAATGCGAAAGATCCACGAGTTGCGGAAATGAGCGGAACAAGTCTTTCCCTGTGTCGAACATAGGACTTACGATGTGAATTTCTACTGTGAATCCTGTATTGTGGGGAACTTTGGAAAAAATTGATGCTATTGCATCAACCACATGTAATTAGTCGGACATATTCAGCAACGGTGCTAGGTTACTCTTTCTGTCAGCTCAGGACTGACTAATTTGTGCTTCGCTTTCACCGCTAATGTGCGTTTGAAGTGATAGCTATTGGTCTGATTGGATAATAACTTTCGCACAACTGCAGTTCCATTACCCTCAGTTCACCACTTATTCAGGCAACATCGTAGTTGATCGTGACAACTATCTATTTTCCGTGTGTTTGGGGATCAGTGGTAAGAACAATAACGTCGCGGATAAGTTTGCGTCAAAAAGAAGTCATGAAAATTCCGTTTCTGCTTTTCTGATCTTATCCTGTTTGCAACTCACTAATTCGATATGATGGGAAAATTGGATCCGGCGGCAAAGTGCGAGACAGACAACTGAAGTCCTTTGATGCACTTCAAGGTTACGTTCTTCATGGGTGAACAAAGAAGGCTGGAAGGCTGGTATGTCGGCAAAGGAATATGAAAATGACATGATAATTGGTGTTCCAGGAGCGTTAGTTTGCTGTTGGTCTGTTCGCAAAATGTGGTAATTGGTTTGCACGTGGAAGCTATCCTCTCGACTAACAGCTAAACTTTTCCATAACGCGGCTAATTGGGTAAATAGTGTTTCTTACGGAAATGCTGGGTGCTCCGTTTGATGAGTGTGGTTTCACTATGGATGCGGTAAGCAATGATGTGGTATACAGACGAGGGATCTGAATGCAGTTTACAAATCACAGAATCACCTCTAGGATCTCACAGAATTAAACTAGCTTCCAACGTTGGGTCAATGTTGCTTCCGTGCCATTAGGGGTCCAACCGGTAAGTGGAGTTCCGTTTATCTCTCTGTGCGTAAATATTTATCCTTCTAACAGTCGAAATGGAGTCCCAATTTATATCCAAACCGTGCTGCTTTTCGTAAGTTATCTTCGATTTTTGTTTGGATTTTCGGTGATGTTATCTGCCCTAACTGACAGCTGAATTTACGTGTCACATTTCCCCTATGGCGGCACAAAACCCATTTGGACAGTGTTTGGGATAGAGTTGCGTCATGATCATATGTTGAATGTGTGTTGAACTCTTCAGCTCCTGTTTGGCGCATCCCACACGTTCACGAATAAACAACCCAACGTTCGCAGTGTTGGAAACGTAGCAAGTTTAAGAAGTGGATAATTGAAGTTCGAGCTAGCATAGCTCGGATTGAATATCAAGTCTCATTTTGTACCTAATCCTTCACGACTGACTGTCTACTTTCTTTTCAGGTTCACCTTCGAAGCACGAACGCCTTGGTGTTATTAATCACAGTTTGTAGAGTTACTGGAAGTATGTGCTCCTCTAGTATTAACTTCTATATGATGAGTACGAACAGATTCTAGTGATATGACGTGGTTGAGATTTCAGTTATTTAGCTCCCATAGTTGCACCTGCCGTTCCCAACTGAAGATTTGTTTTCTCCACTCTGATTGTGTTTCAACGAAACCGACTGCACTCACGATGCTGTTCGGTTGCAGGACACGTTGTGTGAAACATTTATCATTCGTTCAACACGAAATCTACTCAGCTTCGGCAAAAGCGGATATCCGGATAACCAAAAATCAACCGTACAAGGCAACGCAGCAGCAAAGTAGCAATACAGACACACTCACCTCTTGTTAACTAAGACCAGTTTTCCCGCGAACCCTTATATGCTGCAAACACCTAACAGGTCGAATCTCATGAGTTTTGTGTTTCCTCGCATGTTCGTAATTTTACTGGAGATTTTGCGACGAGTAACTGATTACCAATTTGACTTAATCCGTGGATATTACCAAGTTCAGCTGTTCTCATTGATCATGGATAGATTCAGATCATTTCTGTTTTCTCCAGTGAGCTACTTAGAGTTGGGTTTCGCATGGGTGATACGCAGTCGATCTGTCTACATCACGTTTGTTCAGTATGATGGTGGATCTTTTCGAATCCTAGTGGCTGATGATTTCCAAAGTAGGGAACAAGGGGTGCAGGGCTCGTTAGATATTCGTCCGTTCACGTATTTTCCTAGTACTACAACTCAACCTTCTTCAAATTCCCAGATATTATCATTACGCTGTGGATAGCATATATGTTATTTTAGACGAAAAAGACGACTAATTGTTTCATATACTAGGTACTTAGACTGGCACTGGTCCTACAACACAGGATACTTCGTTCAAAGAAATGTTACTTTTGTTTGTGTGGGTCGGTGTTGAAATTAGTCCACCATGGAGGGAAAATTAAGTACAGATGAGTTAGATGATTAGAATTCTGCTTTTCGATTGACGCGACCTAACTAGATAAACTGTAATGAAAGAACCAGCCGAATACAAACGGACGTTTGAAATTGAAGAGAGCATGCACCTCTTTGGACTGTTAACGGATGCATACTCCAACTTTGTTGGAAGAGTTTGTCAACAGTTGTCCGCAAAACGATGATGCATAAGCTAGAGCACATCGTGCTACCAGTAGTCAGCCATGTACCTCTTTCCCACTTTGTAAACTACATAAACAAACGGGCAAGAAAAGAGAACACATGAATTACTCGTCATTATGTGGGAAGACAGTAAGATCACTTTCGAACTTAAACACAATTGTCAGCTCTCATTCTTAGATGCGCTCGTTAGGGGGACTATGAATGGCAATTTTCAAACCTGCACTTACCGAAAGGAGACGCACGGACCGGATACAAACCCCGAAAAGATCTGGATGCATACTCTGTTCGGTAGAGCAGAAACGCACAGTAGAACAGCGATAAAAAGAATAATAAAGACGACAGGACCGAAGGACCGCACCATTGGAGGTTCAGGTAATAATTCGTACCGAAACAAAAGCGATACATACTACGTCGGACAAATTGAACGAAAACTATTTGGACAGCTATCAGAACACACGATCAACTGTCCCTAGTTGCCATACCTGTGTACAGGAATCCATTCTATAAAACGTGAAAATCTTGGCACAGGGAAATACAAGACGTTCAAGGGAGTTCCAGGGAGCATGGAACTCTGCCACAGACAAAATACATCAGAGGGAACCAAGAGCCTGCAACTAGTAATCAGAGAACCAACAAGGCAAGGATAGTCTGATTCACGGAGTTCAACGTCAAATGAGGTTGACCATTTAGTTTTCTTGGTGTTGGTATTCATCCTAGGAGAAAAAGTGACCAGCAGTTTGTGTTGTGAAGCCAGTGAACGACTGACACGGTAAATCATCTTGCACTCAAGGTATCGCCAACAACATGCGATTTAGCCATTGTTTTGTTTTCTAAGGTTGGTAATGTAATTAAAAATTCCTCATCACAGACCATATTGACATCAGTGCGTCGTTAGGAAATGGAGTCTGTGACTTCAAAGCCCTCTGAAACACCCCGCAGCTTTAATAATTATTGTCTACTGAGGCTTTTAGATAATAGCCATGATGGAAATATGTACCGGGAGTGATATTATGAACCTGAGAAGTTATCCATGGTTTTGAGTGAGAGGTTTCGGAATCGACAACCGAACGCCGCATTCCAAACACATTTTGTGTCGGCAACTACGTGGAAAATGAAGAGTATGAGTTGAAACGCCATAAAATGTTAGCTTTGAGGTCAGCCTATGCTAGACAGCCAACGAACGCTGAATAGCTCTTTCACCTTCGTTTAGGACTACCGGAATTTTGTGCGGATCTAATCTTTGAAGGGATCCGAATCCATAACTGGAATAGTATTCTAAGAATGTCCGCATTCCGCAGTACTTTTACTCTGCACCCAAACAGCATATCGCGTCAATCGTCCCAAATTCTCTCAATTTGCTTTGCATGATCCGATGCTGATGGATCTCAACAAGACGAGTTATATGTAGATTTTTGTTTGGCTTACAATATAAGTGATTTTTACTTGTGCGTTGAAATCTGGGTTTGAACGGCGGGTTTTGTCGTCTGTAGACGTCTGAAATTCCTCTAGCTTGAGTGGAGTTTGGTTTGTGCGGTGCACCACGGGATCAAGTCTCATACATAATGGAGCACACAGTGATCTACCTTGTTGATGTCGAAGTTCTTGGCGAGTAGCGATGCACGATTTGAATTTGGTGCTACATCATTTTATATTGAATTCAGTCTCCTTCCCGAGTGCTAGTCTATCGAATCGTAATCAGTTTAAGTTCCAGGTTTCTTTAATGACTGTGCGTGAGGCGTCGTCTCACCACTTCACTCACAAAGCAAAACTTTTTTGAGACGTGATGTATGGTCTCCGTAGTTAGCAGGGAGAGGCTCTTGCTCAGAGTTGCATACCCGTTCATGAACACTGCATTCGATTTAAAATAATGTTGACTTAAGCAACTGAACTAGGTCGACACGAAATAGGGTGTATTCATCAAGCACCACTTAACACATAGGCTTTTCTTGCAATTATCAAAATTAGTACTCAGCAGGAAGTAAACATCGAAAAATGGGTTCAGTTAGCAGGAAATACACACACCACCGAACAAGTCGGCTATTACAGATATTGAAATTTGTGTACAATAACCCCAGCTTTATTCCAGTACCTCTGACTGAACCAGACTTAAGAGTGAAGTTAAGGATGATATTGTCGGTTTTTCCTTCCAGCCCGTCTCAGCAAGTAGTTGAGAGGTTTTCCTTACATGTCACAATTTGTGCCAGCAAATGACGCATCCTCGGATTCATTGATTTTCATTTCTTTCTGGTTTTCAGTTTGTTGAAACGACCATTAGACTATTTCATGAAAACAAGAAGTCACCTGTTGACAGTGGGCTCGAGTTTAGGGTGACGCGTAAAACTAGATGTCTTGGCCCTCGGGCATGTGATTTATGCGTGGATTTTATAGGAGATAGACAAATACCTTCCCGGTGTTAATGAGAGCGTATACTTCATACAAACTCGAAAAGTGCAAGATTTCGTTGCGACTGTGCTACCTACTTCCTGGTTTTACGAACACATGGTTTAATGGTGACGAAATAGTGAAACACCTTGGTTAAAACTAGATGAATGACAAAAAATGCCATCGCGGTACGACCGCAACATATTTTGGCAATAAGCTAACGTCATTGCGTGGGAATTATCAATTGCTACACACGTGTTTCTCGATGAGGCATTCTAAACTCTAGAAAATTTGGAGGACAACATAGCTGTGAAGCACTTTTGGCGGTTTTGACTGGAAATAACCCATACACCAGAATCGGGCTCAATATTTTGGAAGTTTCTGAACTGTCTTCACGGGAGTATCAAAAGTGCAGGTGTCTTACAGAGAAAAAAAGTTCATAGAATTTAGTGAAACCAAGCTCTTTGTTGTATGGTTCAAACGTTACCTGGGTCCAAAGGGGCTAATCCGTGGTTGTTACTATGAATTGTATTACCGGCACGGGATGTGAACTGTGGCTATGTGTGCATCTGTCGTGGCTAATTCGTACGCTAAATGTGGAGTCATCTCGACTAGTGAATACGGGTTCAGTGCGGGCTGCTTTGGTTTGGAGGATCCGAACCCGAACGTGGCTTCTCGACAGGTCCTGTCTACCCTAGGTATCTCAGTCTTCGTTTTTTTTTGTCGTTTTTATGCTGCGGGCTGCTTTGGTTTGGAGGATCCGAACCCGAACGTGGCTTCTCGACAGGTCCTGTCTACCCTAGGTATCTCAGTCTTCGTTTTTTTTTGTCGGTTTTGATGATGGGTGTGTACCGAAACAGCACCACACCTGGTCAGTTTTGCGCTTGTAAACCGTTGAGAATAGCTGTGCATGTGACAATAAGAATATACGTACTTGTTTATTTTTTTTATACAGTGGTTCTGGTCACTTATGCGTCACACACGTCCTGCAGATAGTTTTCTGTGCACAGACGACAAACTCTGGACCGTATATCCGGTGTCATAATGAGCGAAAAATCCGCGGTCACGGTAAACAGATTTCTCTGCTTTGTTTTGAAAATTTTTGCTTTGGCAGCCACCACTTATTCACCATATCTTAGTATTTGATCGGAATCATCCGTGGAGCAGGTGGCGCATTAGCATGTACACTATTTTGTCCAGTCAAACTGAAATAGCAGCAACCTCCAAAGCCTGTATGAAACTGCATGCCAGTCCTGTTGGCAGGACACACACCTGCGGGTGTGTTGAGTATGAGTACACCGGAAACCGCTACTAAGGCCTGTTTACAACATTACGGCAACCAACTCATTGGCTCTCTGAGATTATGGACCATAGAAATAAACTCGAGCACGTTTCACCCACTATATTATTGGCTTATGTTCAGGGCCCGGTAGTGTTGCGATGGCCTGACTGCACATGGAACGCCGGTGCACACAAGCCATGCCACCGTTGGGCTTCATTTGTTTCAATACAATGTGGTCTGGAAAAAATCAGTGGTTTAGTAAATGAGTCCGTCATTTCCCTAACCGAGACCACAGAATTGTCAACGATAGTTGAAAAATTTCGCAACAGTCTGAAATTCTTCATCACTCATTGCGAAAACCTGGATTTCACTGAATTTGGTTCCCAAGCAACGTGTCAACGTCTCCTATTGTTCAGTAGACTACAGTTTAGTTACAGTGCTGGAACATTTGTGGTACGCATATACAACAAAACTTGTACGTTTGATGCAGACGCTTTGGCGTGCAAGTTCGCATGATATTTTGACTTGTTCATGTGGTATCAGCACTGGAACGAAGTGTACGTTAAGAAACGACTGCATTATAGACAAGATACAATCCAGTTCAATGCATCACCCATCATTTCAATGCAAAAGTGCGATTCTTCCGTCAGACATCTATGCGCGGAAGATATTTTCAATGCCAATACTCAAAAAAGCAGAACCGGTGCAAATGGAAGCAGATGGACAGGCATCTTGGCCATTTCGTATAGGCTTTGAAGGAAGTGCCTGGAGTTTCATTCTTATGATATGAGGCTTCAATGTACAAACGAAAAGTTGAAGCGGTCTGCGATGTTAATTTGAGAATTAAAATTTTTCATTTAAGATTTCGAGCTCCGATAAGTTTAATTTCTAGGTCGTCACGTGGCTCAAAGTGTGATCATGTCTTCCTATACATAAGTGATAGTTCAAGTTCCTTCAGAGATGCCACCCGAACGTTGTAACAAGGTTGCACACCAGAAGTTTGTGGTTTAAACTGCGGCGAGAAGAAGGATACATATCTCTTATCAGCTTTGACGGATGTGAAGAAGGGGGCCGGTAAATTTATCATCTATTATGGCCTAAACAGACTACTCATGGATGGAGAGGAATAGTGTGAAGCGATTGAGGGTGATATGGATACGTGTTTTTGCTGAAACAGAGCCTGTAATTTTGCGCGCGTTAGTATGGTTTGGTCACCCGCTTCATTTCGGCGCAATACCTCGAAGTTATGCATGGTTTCAGAAAAAAACTCTGGAAAATAAATTAGTGTTAGCTAATAGGATGCCGTCACGTTGTTAGCTAGACATTTTGAACCATCTCACCAAAAGAGCTTTCAGTTCCAAGGTGAATAAAATAACGATTATCACAGTCCCAGGCAGATTGTCTGCCGAAAGCCGTGTGAAGTATAATGGATGAATCCA